GTTCTTTTCCATTTTTTCTTGCTCTGCCTCTCGGCGAAGGCAGATGCTTTTTGCTCACCCCCCACCCCCTTTACTCCTCTGCTTTGCTGACTTTGTCTAATGTGCTGTCCTCTGTCCTGATATAGCCTCCGTATTATTTTTTTCCGAAAAAGCAAACCAAATCATGGAATTAGTCAGCTGGACTTTCATCACTATGGATACAATGTTTTCGACAAAAAGAGCAGGCGGTGGGGACCCTTCTTTCCCCTCTGGGACAGATGCTGCCGGGTACACCTTAGATCAGAGGTTCCCAAACCCTGGGCCGCGGACCGGTACCAGTCCGTGGGCCATTTGGTACCGGGCCGCACAGAAAGAATACATAATTTACATTACTTCCGTTTTATTCATTTCGGAATCTGAAAGATGTTTTATTTTGTAAAATTGTTTTATTTTGTAACTGTGTTACATCGGTCTACAATATGTCACTCTTGACGCAGGTGAAGGCACGCTTCTCAGTCACGTGATAGGTTACCGCTAAAAAACAAAGGTATTTGGAAAGTCTTTGGGAAGGGGGAAAGTCCTAGCCAGGAGACAGAGGAGGAGCCTACGACTTTCAAGAAAAAGAAGGCTACATTTAATAGACAGTGTCAGGAGTACCATTTAAAATATGGATTGATCACAACGGGAGATTCCCATGCACCAAGCGCAGCCTGCATAATATGCGGCATTGGTGAGTCGTCCATAGCGACCAGAGAGTGTTGCAGTCAGATAGGACGTTCCTCGTGTCGTGATTCATGTTTATTGTTATGTATCGAAAATACCACAGTTTTCTTGCCGGTCTTATCATATTATTCATTCATTCATTCATTTTCCGAACCGCTTGATCCTCACTCGGGTCGCGGGGCATATCATATTATTTTGTTGTATTTATCCGGCCTTTCAAGGCCGGTCCCTGAAAATATTGTTTGACATTAAACCAATCACGGGCGTCAAACTCAAGGCCCGGGGCCCAGATACGGCCCGCCAGGTCATTTTTATGTGGCCCGCGAAAGCAAATCGTGTGTCTCAACTTGCTAAAATCTGTACCGAAATGTCAAATTGTCATGTGTAAAAAATAACGTTGAGATTTTGCAATCATTTTGTCACCCTGTTTACACTCACTTGAACAATAATTGAACAAACTATTGTAATTGACTTGACTGATTTGAAAACTAGTAATCTATTAATTTGTTGTGTAGAACAGGGGTCCCCAACCGCCGGTCCGCGGACCGGTACCGGTCCGCAGGGCATTTGGTACCGGGCCGCACAGAAAGAACTTGCCTTAATTCTTAAAAGTACGTTCGAGACAACTGGATTAAAGTTATGGCTGAATATTCTGAGATCGCCATAGTAGCACTGTTGCTATTTCCGACATGCTATCTGTGTGAGGCGGGGCTTTTCTGCAGCAACGGCGACTAAAACAAAATTACGAAGTAGACTTGACGCAAAACACACACTTGAGGTGTCATTGTCTCCTATTACCCCGAGATGGGACCGTCTGGTTGCAGAAAATCAAGCTCGGAGCTGTGGTGAGTGGTCATTTTCATGCACTTTGAATTTGCATTGTATCGTATTTTGAAGGCATTAAACATTACCATAGCGATCAGAGTGTTGCGGCCAGATTAGACGCTCCTTGTGTTTATTATTATATTTCGAAAACACCACAGTTTTCATGCAGCTCATACCATATTATTTTGTTGTATTATTTCCGCCACACCTTAAATGCTGGTCCCTGAAAATATTGTCTGACATAAACCGGTCCGTGATGCAAAAAAGGTTGGGGACCCCTGGTGTAGAAGTAATAATTTTGAAACTGTAAAAGTACATTGGAAATTAATAAAATGTCTTTCAGTACTCACGGTATGTTTTAAGATTTTAAGGTTGTTCTCTGTGGCCTATTTCAGAAGATCAAGCATCAAATGTTATTCTCTGAGCTCTCAAAGTATTTCACATTACTTTGTTACATTGCACAATTGCCTGCCAGTTCGTATAAGTAAGAAAATATTATTCCACCACTTCTGATTTCATATCTAAGGCCATGAGAAGTAGTACTGTACTACATCTCCTATCGAGAGGACCCTTAATTGATGTGTCTATACTTAATTATATTCCTGACATTACTTCCTGTATTGCAGTCATGTGTTTAATGATAATTGTGGGTGTTCATTCATCCAGTTTCAATGACGATTGACATCGTTTTGGTCACCGCTAACTGGAGTCTAATATGGACTCCAATATCCAAGGTGACATAGTGAAGGTCATTTTATACTGCACTGAGTGCAGCGCGTCGTCGATCAACCAATTCATCGTGTATGTGCTGCAGGATAGACTTCTGCTGCCCTGGCAAGTGCATTGAAAAATGTTCCATTCAAGTGGCAGTGCACTTGAATGAAATTTCATTTATTTAACCTTTATTTGTCCAGGTAAACCAACTGAGAAAAAAAAAAATCTCACTTGTAATCTGACCTGTCTGCAGACAGCAGAATAAAGCAAAGCAAAACAAACAACAACAAAAAAACAATACAAACTGTACAATGTGATACAGTTATATATTGACATAATACATTCCATTACATGCTAGCGCTTGGGGAATAATGCTATGTTGAGACAGAAGAAGAAACGTTGCTTGCTCCAAATGCGTCAAATGACCTTAATCGCGGGATATGAATGTGTCTGGGTTCAAAACAAACCGAATAATGTTTTAGGATCCCAGAAACGTAGACACCAAACAAAACTCCATAACAAACATGCTTAATACAGTGAAACTCCTCTACAACGAAATCATGTTTGCGGCAAGAAATTTTTCACAACAGGGGGTTTTTCACTGTAGCAAATTTGATCTCAGATGTAAGCACACACACACCCACACCCACAAACATATGTGGACACGCACACACAAACGTATGTGTACTCTATTTTTATTCCAAGAATAGTGCATAAGTATGAGCACACACTTATGTGACACTTCATATTGTCAGTGTAGAAAGAAAAAAAGGGAAAGAAATTGCGAAATTTACAATCAACATTCACTTTCACTTTCATCAATTTCTTGGATAATGTCTTTTATTTTGCTTGCTCCGTCTTTCATTTTGATCACTTTTACCCTCTCTTCCAGCATCAGAGCTCTTCTTGTCTTGCTGCTTGATATCCAAGTTTCGTTTGGTAGCCATTTTAGCAATGCAACGTCCATCCTCGTCTGAATCTAACATTAACAAATACTTCCTGGCATGCAATGAACTTTTAAGCCAGCCACGGGACGCTTCGTAGTCCTCGATGAGCGCTTCATTAGCGCTCCGGTTAGCGTAAGGTTTTTAGCCTTCGAGAGCTAACTATGGCCATCGAGGACTACGAAGCGTCCCGTGGCTGTTTTTAGCATGATAACAAGTAAAGCATTCGAGGAAACGTTTGTTTATTTGAATGTCCGTCGATCCATGAGCAATTTAGCATTAGCAGCTAATCGGATGCTACGGATCTATCTTCAGTATCTACACACACATAGACAGTGAGGTCCCTCTTGGCCAATCGGAGGCCAGGATGATGCTCGATCAGCCAATGGCAGAGCAGCTATGAGTATGTTGAGTCCAGGAAACTCGCAGCTGTGACCGAAATAAACATTGTTCACTATGTAAACCAGTGTGGTGGTTCCTGCTGCCGTTTCCGAACAAAGCAGTAGAGGTCGCTGTTGGATTAGACTTCGTTGTAGTGAATGTCTTCGCGAGGCTGGAGCAGAGAAAATGATTTCGTATAACGCAACAGGGGGGTTTTCGTCGTATGGGGAGCAGGAGAATGGGAATTGTGTTAATGCATGAAGATTTTTTCACATAAGGGGGTATTTTCGCCCATGTAGGTTTCGTTCTAGAGGAGTTTCACTGTAACAAAAACAAATATGCATGGAAAGACAGACAATGCTGGTCAAACGAACCAAGAAAAACTATACATTAACAAAAGCTGCTAGCAAAAGGCAAGGAAATAATTAGTACGGGAAAACCAATGAAATCTCACGAATCAAATTCACACGTAACAAACAAAAACAAAGTCAAATGACTAAACAAAGACTGTACTGGCAAAACCAGGATACCAAAGGAACAAAATTGACTGTGATGAGAGCAAGAGGTCTAGAAAACAATCACTTGAGCAAGAGCAGCAACAAGGTCAAAATAATCCGAAAAACTTCAGGCAGTTTGTCAGTCCTTAAAAACATGGCTAATGATTGGCGGCAGGTGTGCACACTGAGGGGATGGCTCTAGTCTGCCACCTGTTGGAGACACAAAAGAACAGGATCATGACAGAAGGGTTCTGTTAAAAGTTTGGCTCACAGTTCAGCAGCTGGAAACACGTCCTTGGTAGTAACTTCCTTATGCCATCATGCCTGATCGACAATGACATGCAGGCACGAATCACTCTACCACATACGCCAACTTCCTTGCTCCCCATTTTCTAAGCTTGCTCCTTTTTCCCGGCATTGGACACTGGCAGTGTTGTCCAGTTCCTGGTGTCCACAGACCGCAATAATCATTTTGTCTTTCAGTTACTCCAGGATACTTGCACAGAATGCCATGTGTGTGCCGTAGTCAGTACATTCTCAATGTCTATTGGCTGCTGCGACACGATGTGTGCCTTTCTGTTCAAATTTACCAATTCAATTAAGGCAATGCGCTCTCCCCCTCTCAAGCAGCTCAACTAGTGACCACTCAGACTGCATCCCAAGAGGTTCATGACAGGCTAAAAACCGTGATAATGTCTTGTATCCTCCAGTGACTTTTTAAAAAACGATTTTTGAGTATTCGAGCTGAGTTTTATTGTTTGTTGGAGAGTGTTCAGATCGTTTGAGGCAGAAAAATGAAAAGATGAGCAACAAAAGGTCGTGCAGACTCTGAGAAAAAGAGGCTAATAAAACTGCTGGAATGGAAAGAGCAGGTGCTGGCATGCATGGTGATGAGCAAAGAATTTATCGTGGTTTTTTTTTTGTTTTTTTTGTGCAGTGAATGAGGCGGACAGTGTGGTAAAAGTGGCTGAGTGGCAGCAGACCTACTATGCTTCAGATTCTGGCATCCAATCAGCAGCCACCACAGTGCGTGATGATGACAGCACTACTGGGTGCAGTGGCAGTAAAAAGTATACAGGCAGTATAACTACTACACCTGCAACAACCAGCGCTGGAACAGGAGCAGTCGGTGAACAAGAAAGCCCCACAGGTGAGCCCTATTGTCCCTCAGTTTAGTCTCCATCCATCCATTTTTCATCTGTTAGGAGGCATGCGCGGTTGGCGTTTTGAGTTGAATTACATGCCAGCTGTGAGCCGCAACATTTCCAAAAGCCATAAGGGGTGCCCACACGGCAACTTTTGCTCCGGTGTAGCACCGGGGCTGCCCCCGTAGAGCGTTCACACGTACAAAGTTATACCAGTGTAGCCCCTGAAAACAGCTTAAACCGGAGCAAACTTAACCCTGCTCAGGACGGGGTTTAAAAATGTACTCCGGAGTAAATTCTAGTTTGCGGGGCAGCAGCGATATAAAATGGGACATGTGAACACTATAGGGGTAGATTCGCTACGCATCAGAAGAGTTGATTACATCCGGGTATTGCATAACTTGCATCCTGGGTATTTTGCACTTCTTTCATTTCTCTCTCTCATCCTTTTACGGTGTCTGATAGACCACAGCATTGATTTGTCTGGAGAAGTATAAAACATGGTTTTTCGATATGTCACAAACAAGGCGGGGAAAAGGAAGTACACTTTACGCATGCGCATGTTTTATTTTCAAATTATGACTATTGTATTGCACGGCTGCAGAAACCGCCATGTGAACGCAAGTGGGGCAGCACCGGGGTTACCACGCTTCTCTTTCATAAGCAGCTTTATACGTGTGAACGCTCCACAAAATTTACACCGGTGTAAGATATATCTCAACAAAATACATCGGTGCAGCACCGATGCAAATGTGTGCTGTGTGAACACCCCTATCGTTGAATTTCCTACATTCAATATTACGGGTTTTTAATCATTGCATGATCAGTGGCCTGTTCTGGGTCAGGATGTATGGAGTGGTGGTCCCTCAACATGGACGTTGGAGCTTGTTGCCTTTTATCTAGAGCAAATTACTGAAACATCAGTAGTCCACTTATTTCTTTCCTACCGTTTCACTCAATTAAATTCCCTAGGTGACTGCCATACTGTACCTGGTTGCCATCGACCAAAACATTATTGCGGGGAGTGGGGATTTTTTTTTTTGTTTCCATTTGGATATGTCTTTCATTATCCTTATTATGACTCCATCAGGTGGTCCGGTGGTCGACTGATTAGCGCGTTGGCCTCACAGTGCAAATGTGCAGGGTACAATTCGAGCTCTGGCACTCCTGTATTGAATTTGCATGCCCTCCCTGTGCCTGCGTGGGTTTTCTTCGGGGACTCCTGTTTCCTCCCACATTCCAAAAACATGCGTGGCAGGTTAATGGAACACTCTATATTGTCCCTAGGTGTGACTGTGAGCGCGAAGGGTTGTTCGCCTATGTGTGCCATGCGATTGGCTGGCAACCAGTTCAGGGTGTAACCCACCTACTGCCCAAAGATGGCTGGGATCGGCTCCAGCACGCCCCGCAACCGTTGAGAGGATAAGCGGATCAGAAAATGGATGGATGGGTGATTCCATCATTGTGTCACAGATTTAACAGAAGGCAATGAGTGAAAAAAAAATCGTATCTGCTCAATTTTGGTGCGTATTGTAAATTATGCTTACTGTTAATCATAAAATTTTCAAATTTTGTGACAAGTCGTTTTGTTGTTTTTGGTCAAACAAAGGCAACATACCACATTTTATGTGGGTTCAATCCATGGAAAAAATCAAGGTAGGTTGAGGCTTCAAAGTTAATGCCTTACATCATTTCTTTTTCCTTCACTGATGTGCTAAAGCCAACGAAGGCTAAAAGCAGTCACATCCAGTAGCATTCCATATTTTATAAAAAAGAAGCCGCCTATTGCCTTTTTCCATCCTCTTGAGTTGATTTTATTAAATACTTTTTTAAGCACAATTTATCTTTGCACCCCCCCACCCCGTCAAAAAAATCGTCCTATTCATTAAGTAACAGTCACAGACTTGCTTAAAGCTAACAATATTTATGAAACTTGCTGCATGTGATGGCACAGTGTGGCCAAGGTGAGACAAACCACAAATAGAAAACTTGTTGTCAACTTGTTGATTGTGTCAGCTACGATGCCCTTTGCATCACTACTTTGGAACGATTGGAGCTTCACACCTGAACAAGCATGCACTGAAGGCAATTGATCCGCATACCTTACAGCGGCCGTGTTCATTTTCAGGTCTGTTAAGCCTGCTTTATGCTGAAGTTTCGATTCGTCATAAACTCAAGTGACTCCCCTGAGTTCCATTTTGATGTGACACACACACACACACACACACACACACACACACACACACACACACAAACATACCCAGTATGAGAGCAGATTAAGTGTGATGAGATTAATAAATTGAATAGTTCTCAAAACAAAATTGCCAGTCTGCACCAAGCATTTTCTCTCACTGTTTCTTAAATCTACAGTATGGTTAACCTACCCTGAAAGTCAGTGCATGCTTTTCTGCCTTTCAAACTTTTTTCCATTTTTTAAAATTTATATATATATATATA